GTAGTTCAAATGTATTTGGTGGCAAGATGAGAGAATTTGTGAAGAGAAGTAGAAAGCGAGACGGTTCTGCAAGAAGTTATATTTACGAAGCAAGTATGATATTAGAAGGTCGTGGAAAGAAAGAAACAGTGAATTATGAGGAAGTGCTTGAAAAATTCATGGAGTACATGGGAAGCAATATAACATACAACAAAGACATATACAGTGAGTTTAAGTACTACTGTGAACAACATGAGATTGAAGTAATGAGTAAAGGAGACTTTGAAACGCTTATGAAAGACAGTAAGGAGGTCATACATGAGAACAGTGATGAAATAGTTCATGAGAACAGTAAGGAGGTCATACATGAGAACAGTGATGAAATAGTTCATGAGAACAGTAAGGAGGTCATACATGAGAACAGTGTTGAAATAGTTCATGAGAACAGTAGGAGGTCATACATGAGAACAGTGATGAAATAGTTCATGAGAACAGTAAGGAGGTCATACATGAATGCAATGATGAAATAGTTCACGATGTCGTTCGTGAAGAAGCCATTGCAACAAAGAATGAGATAAAGGATTTCATAGAACTTAACAAGGAGGAGTTTAAAGAAGGCTATGAAGTGAAAAGATGTGAAGAAGATTTCTTGGCGTATTTGAAGAAAAAGAGACTAAAGCCAATGGCTCAAAATAAGTTTCAATCGATGTTTGAAAAGAAACGTTTGAGCTATGGTGGTGTAAGAAGCACATATTACTTTGTTAAGAAGTGAGGACATTTATTTTTGTCGTTAGTGTTGGAGTTTGTGTTTGTTGTTAGTGTTTGTCATTTGTGCTGAGGTTAGTACTTGATGTTAGTGTTGGAGTTTGTGTTTGTTGTTAGTGAGAGAATAAATTAAATCATGAACTTTGCCATGGTCTCTGTCCCTAGTAGTTTTCATTAAGTTCTGGAAATAATGAAAGTCATAAACTTTGTCATGGTCTCTGTCCCTAGTAGTTTTCATTATCTCACAGAGTTAATGAAAGTCATACTTTCTATCAGATGAAGCACGCAGATGAACATAACGAAAGTTAGTGGTTTGCCACGAGTTATGAATAAAATATTGGCATATTAGATGAGATAGCTGATGAAACAGATGAAGATAAATTAAATCTTGGACTTTGCCACACTCTGTCCCTAGTTCCTCAAAAATCCTTGACAACGTTGCTTAGAAATTTTGGTTCAAAACCTCATCTGATTTTAATCTGTTATGCTACCTGTTAAGTTTCGCGAGATTATAAATGTCATGGAGTTATATAAAAAGGAGGGATAGCTAGGGACACTGGAAGTACTTATAAGGCTATCTGTTAAGATTGCATGAAATACTAAAAAGTCATGAAATCCATTATCGCTGTGCTAGCTTCACCTTAGAGTAAAATGACAAATAAAGTCACTGAAGCAATGAAACAAAAGTTTTTGGTAGAATACATTAAATCAGGAACTATTCCAGAAGGTTTTTACATTCATACTATGAAGGATGGTAGAGTTCAGTTTAGAAAGATAAAGCAACCATTAGATAAAGAAGGAATTTTGAGAAAGATTAAACTTCATGAGGACAACATTGCTGAACTTAGGAAGAAGTTAGAAGAGTTGGAGAAAGGAAGAGAGTTATAAAGCAATGAATTCAACAGGGTGAAAAAACAGGTGAAAAAAGAGGTGAGATCTCACCACTTCACCTAAATTTATTTTTGTGCTATGTTTTCATACGTGTGGGAGTGGTGATATCATTAATTTTTATTGTATTTTTTATTTTACTGAAAATTTTTATTTGGATGTAAATGACAGAACAAAAGCAACTCATACAAATCGAAAATATAACAAACATACATTTAAACATTTATTCTTCCTTCCTGAGCATAACATGTTCTTTCAAATACATCCGAGACCAGTTGACTTTTCATTGACTGTGTATAAAGATAGAAATAGTTATATCATTAAACCATATGATGACGAAGGTAAGTTATGTAAATTGTACGTTAAGAAGTTAGAGAAAGTTTATGGCTTCAAGTATGACTACAATAGGGTTAACAGTGATGATGAAGATATTGAGGAAAATTTATGAGAACATTAGTGAAGTCATTAGTGAAGTCGTTAGTGAGAACGTTTATTTTTTACATTAGTGAGTTCGTTAGTGAAGTCATTTATGTGTCAGACGGTTTTGTAAATATTTAAGGTTAAGTTGGTGTTATGGTTGTGTTGTAAAATTTACGTTAACGGTTTCATAAATATTTAAGGTTAACTTGGGTAAGGTGGAACGCAGTGCCGCCGTACCCAACTTAACCATACTAACTAGCTTAGCATCCAGCTAGTTCCAAGTAATGCGATTACAACATCAACGGCCAAAGCCTTTCAGAGTCCTTTAATCATTTCTTCTCATCTCAATGTGAAGTGGATGTTTTGATATGATTTTTCTCATCATAAGATTGGAGGAATCATAGCAAAACAACTCTAATGGGTTTACCATCATCTACTTGTATGTAGATGTTTGGGAAATTGTCTTGTTAATCGATTTTCGAGATGACTTTCAAATGCTATAATCAAATGACAAACAAGTCTAAGATTTCTCGACAATACATCAAAACATGATGTTTGTAAGTGCGATGAGATTAGAGTTTTTGAAGGAATGACAAGAGAAGTAGGGAAGCTCGGCATTCGCCGAGCAAATTAAAAATTAACGTATGGATTAAATTTTAAGAGGAATTCAATTTTAATTACGGGTTGTTCAAATATTGATTAATATAAATTTATTAATAAGAATAAACAATTTTTGTTTTTGAATTTATTCAATTTATAGCTTTACATATAGTTTCAAAATTGTACAACTATGATTATTTCAACAAAAAATATCTTACTTTTTCACTTCACTTTCACCCTCACTTTTTCCGTAATTCAAAATTCAACATTATGTATTTTAATTCCTTATAGTATTTTTAACATAATTAATCAAATAATAATTGGAAGTTCTGAACTCACTTTTTCCGTAATTCAAAATCAAAAATATGAATAATATATCTATTTATTATATACTAATGCTATTTTCAACTAGAAGTGAGGTACGGTAATCTTACGGATTCCCGTAACTCAATTTTACGGAAAAAGTGCAGTAAACTACTCAATTTACGGAAAAAGTGTCGTAAACTATTGATGTGGCGGTAAAATCACGGTAATTCACGGAAAGCTATATGCGAAAATTTGAAATTATACAAAATCGAGCGAAACACTTTTAAATAGGTTGTTCTCGTATTTAAAATACTATTCCCAGATTTATTGTCGTCAGAATATTTCCAAATTTTTGCCGATTTACAAAAAATGATTTACAAAGCATATTTTTTAATCTAAAAAATTCCTAAAAAAAGGAACCGGTGTGCGGAAACCTCGGTAAATTACCGCGGTTCCCGTTGGGACTGCCATAACCTTCAACGATATATGTTGTCTATATCAGACCTCCTTTCTTTTTGATACTTAACATTGTTCCTAAATCTTAGCCGTTAAGGCTGTTCTGAAAATATTTTTTTTCGAAAAAATTCGAAAAAAATTCTTAAAATTCAAAAATCCCTTAATTCCTGAGGATTTTGGAAAAAAGTTTTTACATGAACATGTGTATATTATATGAAGTATATTGATAAGGTAAAAATCAAATTTTATTGCATATTCATCGAGAAAATAAACTAACGAATCCCTCAAAATTGAGAGGGTAATCCTCCTCCTCTCAAATAAACGTACATACGGGTGCACCCTTAATATCATAACTACAAATATAAATCAATCGGTGCATATACTTAGACTTGCACTTAGACTTTTAGAATACTTTAGATATAATATTGCATTGAGAAAATAGATTTTATTCATGAACCCGTAATGTTTCCGTATAATCTAAAAGGTTGTGGAGCTGCGAATATTAATATCCGAAATCTTCGTGGACATTGTTTTCCAGATTTATCTAATGCCATTACCATGGTAAATTATGTAACATGGCAATTGGAAAAATTTTGCCGCATACGATTATTTTCCATTCAAAAAAATTGAATTCGAAATATAATAAATATTGCTTTATTCTAACAATATAAAGGATATCTCGTAGTGGGTAACGAGTTTACTAAGCATCTAGCTCGTGGAAATTGGGTTCCTACGATAATTTTTTGGGAAATGTAGATTTGAAATCTTCAATTCTGGTTTAATAAACGCTGGTATATCCTTGGTGTTTGAAATAAACTGCGACAAATGTGTTGGATTCGGTTTCAGTATGGAATTTCTGGCCTGTGGGAAAAAGTCACCTTACGCTTCCATTTTATTCAATTTTTTTGAGGGAAAAAAACGAAATTATAGGTGGCAGATTTTTTATAGGAACAAACGACAGACTTTAAATTCGCAATTCTGATTTCAAAGGTGAATCGCAAAAAATCATACACACATGAAATATAATCTAAATTTTTAATTTTTAACTCTCGAAAATTTGCATCAAAATTTTTCTTAATGTCCAAGAAAGACTTTCCTCCAAAGTCATACAATGAATTGCGAAGCACATACACAAACTACATCGACGCGTACAATGCATTGTATCAGCTGATTACGGAAAATGAAGAAGAATTAAACTCAATTTACAAAATGATCAAAACAGAATTGATTGAATCCAACAAACAACTTCCTAAAAATATTATAAGAGACATCGCATTTATAGTTCGCTATAATAATCGCTATATGAAGTCGTATTTATACCTTGCCAAACTCATTTCTGATGAATATCATGTCACGGACGTCAGACGTATTGAGATTGTTTTTAATTTCTTTTTTTATAAAGAATATGGAATTAAACTATGCATTGAACACGGTTTCATGACTATTAGCGAAGAAAATACGGATTTTCTTACAAAAAATACAATTTACAGAGCCATTATGAATGATGACAAAGAAGCATTCATTTCATTCACGCAAAGAGAAGGATTTGATAAAAAACAAAAACTTGAAAGCAGAAATATCCAAATATGAAAGAGAAAAAAAGATATGGAACTTTTGATAAAAAATATACATTACTTGAATTATGTTGTTACCACGGAGCAGTTGATTGTTTCAAGTTTTTAAGAACAACATATGATTCAACACCAAATAAAGCATGTCTACGATTTTCATTTTTAGGTCGAAACAAAGAGATCTTGAGTGAATGCTTGAAATATGAAAAACCAGATGATGAATGCATGAAATATGCAATTATTTCGCACAACATTGATTTTGTTACATTCTTGATGAATGAACATAAAATGAAAATCAATCCATATGATTGTGGGCTTTATAAAAATCTCGAATCATTTTTGGTTTATTACGATCAAATTCATAATTATCACAAATGTATTGTTCATTCCGCGATGTTCGCTATTCCATCTCTTTTGGAATATTTTGTTTCACATGGTGGATATATCAATAAAAGTAATCAACGTGGAGATACAGCTCTTCATTATGCAGCACGTTTTAATAGTAAAGAAATGGCGGAGCTTCTTCTTTCATATGGTGCATATATCGACAAAATGAATAATTTGGAAGAAACACCTCTTCACACTTCAGCAATCTACAATAATATGGAAGTAGCCGAATTTTTTATTTCCCATGGTGCAAGCAGATGGTTGTCTTAAGTTTAGATATTTAACCTTGGAAACTTCAAACTAAACATTAATATAATATTGAATAGATGAAATTTCTTTATTTCTGAAAGCCAGGATAATGTGTATGAATAACTATTATTAATAGGGATTTAAAAACGGTTTCGCCAAATGGCGAATTACTGAAAATTCGCTAACTCAGCCTTTATTTTTCGAATTCGGCGAACTCAAAAAGTGACATTATTAATCTCGCTATAATCATTCATAATTTTTGCATATGTCAAATAGTTACAGTATGTTTATAACTTTATTTCGTATAGTCATGATGCTCATGATAACCATTTTGAATTTAAGTAGAAACAAAGAGATCTTGAGTTAATCATCCTCAAAAAATTCCAAAAAAAAATTGCAAAATCCAAAATTTGTTAATGAAAACTACATTTTTTCTCTAGTGTAATCATCCACAACGACAGAATCCGACGGCTCCCGTTGGGAAATACATAGATTATAGGCATCAATACTTGTTTTTGGAAACTTATCATATAACTTCAAATAAATTAATACAGTACCATGTAAGGAAAATTTCACATAACTCAGCCTTAAACTTCTCATTAGGAATTTTAAAATTCAAAGGAAAATTCCTTAGCAATTGTCACTTTTTAATCTGAATATATTTTTAGAATTTGATTTTTCACAAAAAAAACACAATGAAGGAATATGTAAAAAATAACTGGAAGAAATTAGACATACCGAACATGATTATTGCAGGTATGATGTGTTCGATCTACGAAATATTATTTTATTTTGTCAATTCAGATCCATTATATGTACCACCAGAAGATTCAAATTCACAATTTCCTTATAGATCTAGTACAGTTGCTTTTGATAAATTGATGTTGTATCAGTTCTTTATATATTTCTTTTCAATTATTGCTGCCTATCTTTTACAAAGATTCTTTCCTAGATTTTTCAGAAAATTTAGACCATTTACGCTAGCTTGGAATATAGTTACCATTGAATTTAGTACAGGTATTATTATATCTATCTTCAAAAACTATGTTGGAAGAGCAAGACCAAATGTTTTCGATAGCTGTAATAGTACAAATGTTAATGGTGGCAAGTCGAATTGTCCAAAAGCAAAAACAGATGAATATTATTATGAATCATTCAGAAGTTGGCCATCAGTTCATTCGCAGATGGGTGTTTCAGGAATGACTGTTCTTGGTCTGTTTATTCAAAGGTTAATTAAAACAAAAAATATGTTTGGAATTCTTATATCATCAGCACCGATTTTGTATGGATTCTATGTTGGTGCTACGATAATCAGAGATTTTAAACATCATCCAGATGATGTTCTTGCTGGTTTTGTTGTTGGATTCGTTTGGGCTCTCATTGGATGGGATATCATGAACGATTCTATATTCAAAAAATCGAATAATGACCAATACTTTGACTAATGGCATGATATTGCAGCAACTGTTTCTAAAAAGTGCAATTTTTATCATAAAATGTAAAATTCAAATGCTTACCATGAATTATATATATGAACTCATTACATACATACAATATTTAACATCAACGAATCTCGAGAAATCATTTTTCGAGGTAATTTTATTTTTTCGCATCGGAAGGAATGTAATCGATGATTTACATTATTAAAAACCACTTAGGACATTGTTGTAAGTTGAATGAATTTTTAGAAGAAAAAAAAGTCGGAGATAACAATTATTTTTTTGTTTTGAAAGCATTATCTTTTAAATGTTTATGTAGCATACTTGCGTGTCCATTCACGGGCGTCGCGCTCGAAAGCAGCCTTGTCAGCCTTATATTGACGAGCAATATCTGGAACAAGAGGATCATCTGGGTTTGCATCATTTAACAAAGAGCAGATAGAGAGAAGAACTTTAGAAATGGTCAAAGCTGGGGCCCATTTATCTTTAAGAATATCGAGACAAATAGCGCCACGTGGAGAAATATTTGGATGGTAAACACGTGTCTTAAAGATAATATGTGGTGGCTTGAATGGATAGTCTGGTGGGAATTGAATGTCGAGCATGAAAACGCCAGATTCATATGGTGTGTCCGGTGGGCCAACGATTGTGCCTGTCCAGTGGAAAAGATCTGGTCCCTCTGGTCCAGCCGAGCAATTGCAAGGTGGATCACGAGAGATTTCTTGAAGCTCTTTCTGAATTCTTCGAAGAGCCATTAAAAAAATTAAATCGCACTTTTTTTTCTCTGACCACTTAATTCTGAAAAAACGGTTGAAATTTTTTCATGGAAAATGTTTGTATTTATAACTCAATTAAAGCCTAATAATATTTTGAGCGATAAAAAAATTCTGAGCTTTATAGGCTTTTGACAGTGTAAAGTCATAATTTTTATTCAGCTAATGGTTGTTTCTATATAAATGCAGCAATTTGAACAGCTATTTCTAAGGATGTCAATTCGGAAAATTGTTTTCATTTTAGGAGAATATAATTTTCCTTTTGGAAAATTTAAAAAGTGAGACGCGCAGGATTCGAATTTTTAAAAAAGTTGATTTAAATATATTCTAGTGTGATTTCTAAGGATAATATCATATTTAAAATAAGAATATACTAGTTTGGGTGGTATAATTTTTTCGATAAATTTGAGAATATGTACGTTTAGGGTATCAAAAGTGTCAATTCGCTCAGCGAAAGCTGAGCTAGCTTCGTTCTCGAAAGAATAGGGAAGGAGTGAAAGAGAGTGATACAGATGTTGACACATTCATATCATTTCAACAAATTTTGATCAAATTGAAATTCAATGAAATTCAATTCACTTCATATCCTTCAGTCAGTACATTGACATCCTTCTACATCACAATGATAACTCGTACATCAATAGTTCTACAACTAACTCAGAAAAAACAAGATTTTTACTTCCAGCTTACAGCTTTTAAAAAGTTTCGATGATAAAAATCACTCTACTCTTGTTTATCGATATGTTGTGATAGTAGGTAAACGTATTCTTATCGATATTAATAAAAATATTTTTACGAAAATCTGAACCAATTACAGAGTTATTCATAAAGTTTATGATAACTGTAATTACTTCATCTTTGTTTTATATTTGAATAAACAATTTAATTTAATTTAATTTGCATAATTTTTTTTAGTTGAAAAACAGGAAACTTATTTGAGTTTGTATTATTTTTATCGTTCAATTCATTGTATCAGTGAGTGATCCAGGTATTTAAGATATTTAGAAAAAATTTATTAATTTGATTAACAAATTTTAATCAAAATAGCAAAAATCTATTTGATAGCTGTAAGCAAATAATAATTTCTATTTCAAGCAAAATCACTTATTTTCATCTAAACGTATAAAATTGTCAATTTTATGAGAATAAATTTAAAATCTCATGAAATATAAAGAAGAGTAATATTTTTCAATTTTCTTTTTTTCTTTGTCTCAAATATTTTCTGTTGGGAATTTTCTTGTTATCAAAAAATAATTTTAATATTTGTTTATTTCATTACATACAATAAAATTTTAAAAACTCTATTTCTTCTCAAGAAAATTTTTCCTTCATATGAAGAAACATTTTGTTCTCCATTTGATGCTGAGTCTAAATCTCGATTTTTGAATTTTCTTCTTTCCAAATTTCTTTTTTCCAAATTAGAAGTTTAATTCAAATTTTCAATAGTTTATATATTTTCTCAAACCGTCTTAGATTTTCTTACTTTTTGGGGATTTTCTCTCAAAATATACAAAAATAGTAATATCAATACATGTGTCTAATATACTTTAAAACCATCGTGATAAAATTCAAAAACGAAGAGATCTTCTCTCCAAATTTTTTTCAAAATCAAAAAAATGAGATAAAAAAGCACGTTTGGAAATTCATTTTTAGCATTTTAGGAATTTTCTCACTTTTCTTCCAAATTGACATCCTTACTATTTCTACAAAATATTAGCGAATGTCAATCAAATTTCCGAAAATTTTGCAAAAAACGATAATTTTTCCATCAAAAAAAATCTTCTTGAAAAAATGTATCATTTTATAATTGCAAATAAATATAATCATTAAATATATACTAATGATGTGGTTATTTAGTTTCATTTCCTTAGATTTGAAATGAAATTTCGAATCTATTTGAAATCAGGCTTATCCATTAAAGGACTTGATGTGTTTCATGATAGAAATACTTTTTATGCTAATATCTAAAAATGTGTCCATGCTCAAATGTGATCTCATAAAAGTGACATTTGTTGAGCCATAATTTTTAAAAGCTGTTCCAAAGAGTTACATCTATCATTGGTAATAGCCGATCTTTGATCAAAGATTAGATAATATTAAAGTATGTATTCACCAACTGCGATGATGAGAATTCCTCTCGTTCAACATCTTCGTGTCGAGATTATTCTTAATCACTAGCACCCTTTTTATTTCAATACTAACACACAGTTATTAATCACTCTTACTTGTTTTCCCTCATTCTTTCTCTTTAGACTAAATAATTCTAAACGTATTTACAATTTTTCTTTTTATTTATCATTTTTTAATCTTTTTACTTCTGGTCTATTAAAGATTTGATTCATTTATTAATGTTAATACTAAAATTTGATAATTTTTTTTGGTAATAAAACAAAAATAAAAGAATCTTTATTTAGAAAAATTCCTAAACATAATTAACAAAATTCTATTATATCGGTTTCGATTAAGCCTCGATTCCTGAGCCAGATCCAGATTGATCTGGTGCATCTGAAACATTTTCGATATCTTGAGGAGCTTCTTCGACTTCCTCCTTCTTTTCCTTTTTCGCCTTCTTCTTCTTATCCTTCTTATGCTTTTTATCTTTCTTTTCTTTTTTATCCTTCTTATGTTTCTTTTCTTCCTCTTCCTGTGGTGGCTGCTCTTCATTTGCTGGAGGATTCTCAGGATCCTTTGGCGGAGGAGTCATTCCTGTTGGTGGTAAAAGTTCGAAATCTGGAATGAGTCCATTGGCAACCTGTTCATAAGTAGGTACTGGCTTTCCACGCTCATTCTCTTCTACTGTTGGACAAGCTCTAACGTATTCTTCAGTAACTTTCGGATATTCGGGCAATTGGTCAGGATCATTATCTCTGTTAACTTTCCATTCGTATCCATCATTAACTCTTGGGATTGGGAATGGGCAGAGATAAACTGGGCAGTAACTGCATGGTCCGCATGTTTCTCTGATATTTGCACAGCAACCGAGATCGTAATAGTTATGTTTGTCTTCTAAGCTGGCTTTCTTGAACTCTCCGAGTGTTGTTTCGTTGTGGAAAAGATATTTTGTATGGCGTAAAAATATTGTCATGAAAAACAAGAAGAAACCGAGGTCTGGAAGTATTAATATGCAAATTAAAACACGCGGAGCTGTAGCAGTGAACTTTTTAGCATCAACGATACTCCATATCTCGAGACCAATTATAACAAAGAAAACCATGAAAGTCCAGAACGTCCAGAAGAGCTGAAGGTAGAATAATCGATAGTTTTTGAGACCAATCCAGTTTGATACCCATTTGCAAACGTGATCTGCGCGTAAAACTAGTCTCCTCGCTTGAATACTAAGAGAACCGCGCTGAGGACGATCGTTACTTTTAGCAAAGTTAAATTGATCGTTGTTGGTGATGATACCATCCATTTGTTCTTCATAAGTATATTCTTCCCTTCTTTCGACAGCCCAATAAAATGGGACGTATCCTGGCGAACGACACATGCACAACATGTAAGAAATGAACCAAAGCATGAAAACTATTGATAAAACAACTACAATAACGATCTTATATTTTTTCGTGATTTTGTCATTGGCTATTGCGGACCATAAGCCAGCTACTAATGATAAAAAGAAGAGAATTAAGACAATTGGAGGAAATTTACAATTGCATTCCCATTGATTGATAAAATAAGATTTAATTTCTGGAAAATATGCAATATTAAAGCAGCAAATTTTCCCTTTTCTTTCCCATTTGCTAAATTGTGGTATTATTTGATCGCAATGTTCAATATTAAGCACCTTTCCCTCATAAAGATGAGGATCCATTCTTATCCAAAAAAATTAGGTACTTTTTGAATTTAATGGTTTTTCATTGATGTTATATAACCTTTGTGGACTCCATATATCTAATTTTAACTCTTTTTTTCAACTTCGGAAATTTCTTACAGTGAAAACATTTTAAACGTTTTTATATATCCAATAATATTCCATCATTTTTTTTTCGATGATTTAAAATTGTGATAATTGAAAAAGTAAATTCAATTTTTGATGTCGCTGAAGATAATTCTTATATTTCAATATAGAAGCGTTTTAAAACAAAATAAACTTGAAAAATCGTAGATTTTGTAAATTTTACTTGATCAAAAGACCCAAAAATCATTCGTAAATATAGATTTAGAAATAACATAGAAAGGTTTAATATTTTACAGATATTTCAATTAAAATTGGTATCCAATCATAATTTTGCCGCAATTTTTCTTGGGGTAGGTTTTTCTCTAGTAGGTGTTTTAGGTCTTGCACTTGATGCTGGTAACTTAGGTGGAAGGCGTCCCCTTGTAGGAGTTTTTCTTCCCGAAGATTTTTGAGCCATTTGAGCCTTTTGGTTCAAAAGATCTGAAAGAGAAGCATTTTGATATAATGCATTCTTTGTAGGCTTTTTAGGAGTAGTTTGTCCTTTTGTTGGTGTTTTCATTGGAGATTTCGGAATGAAAGCGCAGGCAGCTTTTTGAATATCTCCTCCAAACTCTTCAACAAGTCGTTTCATTGGCATTTTACGAACAGAATCTGGAATTGATAATAAAGTTAATTCGAGAGCGTTTAACATGCCATTAATTGCAGTTTCCATGTTCTTAAGAATTACTTCTTTCCTAGAAGCTGTTTCTTGGTCGAATTCAAGAATGAGTTGAGCCGGATCACAATCAGTCATACTGGTTGCTTAAACGTACATTCTCTCAATTTTTTTATGAAGTGTAAAGAATTTTATGAAAATTTAATATCAAAATCGGAGATCTCATGAAGCTCAAAGAGTAACTAATAAATCTGATGTTAAAATTAATAGAAGCTCAATATTTTTAAATATCTAATGACATTTTCATTAGTAATACATAGTACTGTTATACCTAATTATTCTCAGTGAAACCAGGAAAGTATTTTGATTACAGACTAAATACTGAAAATAATTTTTCTAAAATTATAAATTATCTGCTTCTCAAAATCTTTTTTCATGTTGTTATTCCTCTAATATGTTTAAATTCATTTGATAGGATCGATATTAATGCATAAATAATAGTGGAAATACTCCAAGTAGTATATATGACGGGTTATGTGACTTTTTTTGTAAACGTAAGAATTCATACAATATCGAGCGATTTTGTATCATTTTTTTTAACATATGAAGTAAAAAATGTATGATTCTTACGGTTTTTATTCTTACGTTTTTGAATAAATCAAGATTTAAAAATTTTCAAAATTGTAAGACATTTACACTCAACCCATACATAATGAAATAAACACATTTTAAAAAAATTAACATTAATTTTAAAATAATTTATTTTTTCATCTTTTATAAAAGAAGCTATATATATAGATGATGTCAGATATTCCGCGATTAATTAAACATTGTTTAAATCCTGAATGGAATCAATGGAGTCATAATCAAAGACCTCATAAACGAGTAAAAAGAAATTAGAAACTAATGATTATTTGAATTTATGAAATCAATTATTTGATTCATTCTTTCTTCAATCTCTTCTATTCTTTTTGTTAAATCATCAATTTTCATTAATGAGGTGATTCTTGATTGAGGAATAGATTTCAAACTAATCACCCCTTTTATTTTTGAAATTTTGAATCCATCAACTTTAAACATTTTATTCAATTTACACGTTGTCAATTCTTCAAATAATTTTTTATTATTAGCATAATAGTCATTAAATTCTTCAACAGATGAAAAAATTTTTATTTCAGTAATTGGTTTAACAACGTTTATTTTTTGTTGAACATTTTCACTTTCATTTATTTCTTCCTCCTCTGTTTCATTTATTTTTAAAAACGGTTTCATTTATTAATAAATAAAAATTAGAATATAAGTGATGAAATATATTTTTTTAATTAATATTAAATCAGAAATGGCGGCAGGATTCTTTAAAAATTATGGGATGGAATTAAGAAAGCTGCAGGTTGGGTTCATAAAAAGATTATTAAACCCATTGCAAACTTTTTGGCACCAGTAGCGAAAACGGCAGGAACTATCATAGGTGGTGTATTAGGTACTAAAGCAGGTAATCCGGCGATGGGAGCACAAGCAGGTAACGCAATTGGTGGAATAGCTGAAGGAATACTTAATAAAATAGGAGGTAGATAGTGGAAAAATAAATAAATATTATTTTTAGCTTAGTATCGGTTGTAGTCTTTGATAAACTTTTTCTCCTTTATTTAAAATTTCTCTTATTGGGGCAGCTTTTGGCGTTATTGATTCAGCTATTCCACTAATTGCTTCTTTATTCTTAAATATCCAATTTGCTCCCTTCTTCAATGTTTCCCAAACTTTACTCGCCCCTCTTTTTACTCTATCCCACAGTTTCTTAAATATACCTGCAGCCATAGTTGATTATTTCATTAAAATTAAAAATTCATTTCCATCTTTTAATTTTGATTTTTTTATTTATTAATAAATGACGACTAACTATTTAGTGCCAAACACTAAACCGATTAATGGAAATGTGTTTCATTCATTCGAAAAGATAAATGAAATATTCGCAAAGAATGATGGTAGAAGATATTATAGAGAACTTGAAAGTTCATGCTATGACTCTGATGCTCCATATTTTGATGATAAACAAACTCATTTAAGAATTACAAACCCAGCTCATGATGTGAACCAATTAGGTGACACATATATTAAACGCAAAGTTAAAGCAACTCTAGTTTCAAATAAAGCTTTCACATGTGATGCCGCTTTTAAATGTATGCGTTTATTCGTTGGTTACAAATCATCAAATCAAAGCTTTAAACAATTAGAAGTAGAAACCGAAAGAGGTGATGCCGGTTATCTTCAGATGGATTGCGCCCGTGAATCTTTTGCATTTGCAACATATAAACCAAAATCAGAAAGGAAAGTTAAAAAGTTTGTTCATTCGTTATATAATAATGTTCAAAAATATGATAACTCAGTATGTGGTAAATATATTGACCCTTCAGAAGTTTTCAAGAAAGCAAATGAAGAAGTTGATGTCACTTTTGATATGATTATTCCGGTAAATGATTTGTTAGCATTTCAGGCGTTCGATGATTATCCTAAATCATTTGGTGATATCATTCTTAAATATTATGTTTTCAGGGATACTTTAGTATTTTGTCAGGTTGACCCGTTAAGAGTTGCTGATTTACAAAATTACGTTTATGAAAAGATAACTGATGAAAATTATGAAAAGATTATGAATCATGTTTATAAATATGATCGCAAATTCCAACAAATCGGACTTCCTACCAAAATAATTACAAACATAGCCGCTACATCTGCTGACGCAACAGTTGATGACGTTATTATTTCATGCACAAAGATGGAAGTTTTAGAGGATAAATGCATTACACCAGGATACGGTTTAATTGAAGAATCAGTTAAAGCAATACCACGTTTATTTAGTAAGGAAGATCCATTCATGATTCCAGCTCAACATATTGACGTTTGTTCACTAAATGGAGGTTGCATCACTCCTGAAGGTATTAGCTCAGATTTCTCATACGCTCTTCATAATGTTACAGATGTTGTGTTAACATTTCCGAAGAATGCAATGCAAAGAACAGTTTTAGAAAATCCAATGCTTCGAGGTCTTCAGGTCACTATAGATTCCAGAAACTTCCCCGATCAAGCGATGACCACAGTGGGTGACATATTCTTTACACGTATGCTTCGAGCTTCTGATTTAGATGGAGTGAATGAATGCACGGAAGAATACGAGGACTCATTAACTAGACCACTGAATGCAGATGATGGCACGCCATTAGCTAGAACATGGAAAGACCAAACTTCATTCTTATGCACTATTCCAGTTCAACGTGATGGAGCGGGTATATTCTTTGATGGATTAGAAACTTTCAACTCACAAGTTACAGTACAAGTGAAAGCTTATCCAATCATTCAGGGTGGAAATGACACTTACTGTTCAAAGGTGACAAATCCTCCTCAGGTTTGGTTTACTAGGACTACATATTGGACATGGACACCAGACGAAGGTTTGAAATATCATCCAACAGGTACACCACCACAGTATAGAAGTTCATATGATGAAATATTGATGAATAGAAATGTTTAAAATTATAAATTTATTTTTGATTAAATGGATTTAAATTCATCCACTCCTTATGAAGAATTAGCAGGAGTATATAATACATACGTAGATGATATGATTAATGAAGCATTGAGTGATAATAGAAATGCTCTATCTAAGGAAAATTAATGAAAATTCCATATTCTGAATGTTACTTAAATTCAATCACTGCAGCAATTGGTAAACAAAATAAAGGTAAAACATTAACGATATTAAAACAAATTATCATTATTGCTAACACTTCCCCCCATTCACATGTGTTAATTTATATCAACCGTTCAGGTTCACCTTCAGATGATACATTTGAATCTTTAAAGCATTTAATCAAAATTCCAATTATTTATTTATCACAAGAAGAAGCAGAAGATTATTTAAAAAACTTTTTAATGTATAAAAGAATTATATAATACAATCAAGAAGCAAGGATTAGAGGATAAAATTATTGATAAACAACGGGATGAATTATTTGAAACACTTTCTATTTCAAAATTTTGATAGAGAATTTTTGCATTCACTCATTTTTCTTAAGATGATGCAGTGAAATCAAACTAATAACAAATGAGAAATCATATTTTAATCAGTTATTAACTCAATGTCGACACATTCAGTGTTCATTCTTTATGGCTGTTCAATATTTCAAAGCATTAAGCACAAACATTAAATCAAATCTATCAACACTTTTCATTTTCAGTGGGTTTAGTCGTCAACAGTTGAACGTTATGCTTTATCAAGTGAATTTACCAATGAGCATTAATGAACTTTACACACAATATCAGCAATTAGGTGAACATGGAAAAATAATAGTTGATTTAAATAAAGGAGGTGTTAAATTTGATTAACTTTTTATAATTAATTTTATTTTTTATTAATAATTAAACATGACAGAAATAGCAAATCTCTCTACAAGTTCCATTAAAACAAGGGACAAACAAAAGGGGTGCATATAATAGAACTATGAAAGTTCCTGAGGAATGAAAGAATTAGTTCATATTGTTGCTGGTCTTCAAAAAGATGTTAAAACAAATGAGAAACGTTTTAACATTACCAGAAGCTCAAGCATATGCCAAACGTCATGGTCCAAATTGGGAAGCACACGAAGCAGACATTACGGGTCCAAATGGAAAACCCGATGGTATAAATGAAGTTTTCGTTACTGATGGTCAAGGTAATATTAAAGTCATAAATGGTTACAAATTAACTATATCTGATTATCCTAAACGTAAAGCATATAATGAACGTTATCCTATGCAATTTGATGAAAATGGAAAAGCTGTTAAACAATACATTGGAGAAGGTGAAAATGGTCCAATTAATTCATACCGTCATAATCCATATTCTTATTTCAATGAAGAATTAAATGCTATTGAAGAGGGACCGGATGGATTACCACGATATTCTAACCAGTTTGATGGTCAATATGCAAATATTAGACCCGAAATTTCAGCTAAGAAATTCTTTAAAGTTGCTTTATTCGATCCAGTTTTCGCAAATGTTAAAGATGAACTTAAACAGCAATTCCAACCAATTATAGTAGCAAGAATTGCATCGGGTGCTTTATCTCAAGCATTCAAAGATTTAATTAAGAAACCATTATATC